ACCATCATCTAAATACAAAGCAAAATAAAGACATTTTGACACATACAAGATCTTAGAAAGCTGCTGTCCCACAGACCTTCACTGTGAAAGAGGCACAGTGGCTTGGGGGAGCGGCAGGGAGCTGGAGAGGTGATGGGGCTTAGTGAAGGGCCAGGGCTGCAGGGTGAGGCTAGGTTCTGTTTTGGACCTCTCCTCAGCACCAGCCAGCCAGAGGAGCCCAGCCCGGCCTGGCCCAGCTGGAGTTCAGCTGGAGTTCAGCCAGCCTTGCTGTACTCCTATCCCCTCTTCTTCGGCTGTGGTAGTGGCCCAGCACACAAGCTAGGGGGTAACGCTGCCAGCCTGGCTCAGGGGGTCTTGAGGCCACTCAAGTTGCTCATGTGACCAGGCACTTGACCTCAACTCTAGAGTCCTCTCCTCCTGGGAGGTCAGATGCCACCTTACAGAGGCCTATGGATAGCTGGAGAGGTAGGGCAAAGGCTAGGTCCCTACCCAGGAGTTGGGGGTGGGGGGTGAGGGTTCTCATTCTCTGTAGGAAAAAGAATCATAAACAGTGGAGACAAGACCAATGGGGCTGAGCAAGTGGGGACAGATTTCTTGCAGCATCTGGCTCTACTTAATCAGCTAGTACCCTTGGGTAATTTAACTTCTTTGAGCCTCAGTTTCTCACTTAGAAAATGGAGAGAATACCTACCTAATGAGGATGGGAAGATGAAATGAGATCATCCATTTAGGTACCAAGCTTTAGATATATTTTCCTTCACCGAAATTTCTTAAAAGAATCATCTCCATCTAATATCTCTCTAGCATTTTATCAGTGTTCACTAAAAATTTGTTAACAAAAAAAAAGTAACAGTGAGAGCACAGGTGGGACGTATGCGGCGTTGAAGGCTGTCTGTGAGGAAGGGTTCATGTTCATTTATTTACTCTTCAGTTACTGTTATTCTTTTGGTGCCAGGCCCTATGCTATGCTGGGCTCAGGAGGCGCAGAGATGACCTTCAGCTGGAGGAGAGCCATAGGTCAGGAAGACAACCCAAACCAGAAAATACTAACAGAGTGACAGGGGTCTCTTCAGGGCCTAACTTGTCTTGTGCTTGTGTCCATCTCTCCCACCTCTACCTCCAACCCAACATAAGCTCCATGGCAGCATAAACCTCCCCTGGCTTGTTTCCATCTGTCTGACAATGTCCAAAACAATGTCTGACACACAGAAAGTGCCAAAGAAATATTTGCTGAATGACTGTGTATTTGAGCACTAATAATAGAGACTGTAGAAGTTGCTAGGGGAGCATCGAAGAGGTCTTTGCTAACTCTGCTCCAGGAATTAGAGGTTTCTCAGCAAGGGCCATTAAATCGTGCCTTGATGGATGTATAGGAGATCAATAAGTGGAAAAGGACATTCCAGGCATTGGGGCCAGTACATTCTGAAAACATGGGAGTAAGTTCAGGGGCCAGCGGGTAATTGAGTGTGGCAGGAGCATACAGGTGCAGGAGAGGAGAGTGGAAAGTCACAAAGCTGAGGACAAAGGGCCTTGAATGAACTTAGAACTCAGAAAGTCCTTATTAAAATCTAACCACCTACCCTGATGTAATATTCTGGAGAGGGTAGTGTTTCCAGCCCTCACTGTTGCCCTAGGAAGGCCCCTCCCTTCAAAAGTTAAGGGTCTTATCAGGAGGGGCCAAGGAGCTAGTACCCATAGCGAAAAGGGGCAGTCATACCCCATAGTTCCTAGAATGGTCTCAAGTTGGATGAGTGTGAGATATGGCATCTCTCAGAAACTTGGGTGAGTGTTACATGCTGCCCCCTTGTGGCCTCATCAGAATGAGCAGCAAGGAAGCCAGCCAGGTGGTCGGTTGGTAATCCCAGGGGCCCCCAGTCTCCGGCATCAGCCCCCAAGAAAGTTATCCCAACCACCAGCTGTCCACAGACCAGATCCAATTGCTTCCTTTATCCCACGTATACTCAGTGCGTTTAGGGATGCTGAGAAAAAGGAGTCAATTCACATTTAGTAAAGCTTGTCTCTCTCTCTCTCTCTCTCTCTCTCTCTCTCTCTCTCTCTCTCNTGTTGCCCTAGGAAGGCCCCTCCCTTCAAAAGTTAAGGGTCTTATCAGGAGGGGCCAAGGAGCTAGTACCCATAGCGAAAAGGGGCAGTCATACCCCATAGTTCCTAGAATGGTCTCAAGTTGGATGAGTGTGAGATATGGCATCTCTCAGAAACTTGGGTGAGTGTTACATGCTGCCCCCTTGTGGCCTCATCAGAATGAGCAGCAAGGAAGCCAGCCAGGTGGTCGGTTGGTAATCCCAGGGGCCCCCAGTCTCCGGCATCAGCCCCCAAGAAAGTTATCCCAACCACCAGCTGTCCACAGACCAGATCCAATTGCTTCCTTTATCCCACGTATACTCAGTGCGTTTAGGGATGCTGAGAAAAAGGAGTCAATTCACATTTAGTAAAGCTTGTCTCTCTCTCTCTATCTCTCTCTCTATCTCTCTCTCGCTCTCTCTCTCGCTCTCGCTCTCTCTCTCTCACACACACACACAAAATCTTGGGCCAGAAAGCAGCTGTGTATGCACAGGGGATCAGGAAACCTATGTTTTGGTTTCAGCTCCACCCCTATTCATGGAGTGACCTTGGAAAAGTCACTGCACTGCGATAGGCCTCCCAAGTCTCTATCTGCAACACAGGGATCAGGATCCCTCTTCCTGTCTCCCCTGCAGGGTCACTGTGAAGATCATCCGGAGGACAAATGCTGCAAGTGCTAGGAAAATTGTTTAAAGAGTGCTCCGGATGTAAGGGGATCGTGCTGGGTATTAGATAGGGGCTGTCTTGGGCTGCACTGAAGTGTTTGTTTACACCCAGATGGGCCCTGCTGGCGGGGAAAATTTAAAGGGAACGTGCTCAGCAAGGAAGCTGCTTGCCAATCACAACTGATCGAACAACCCCAAGTAAGAATGGAAGTCTATGATGGGGACCCATTGACTGGCCTGCATTTCCAATTATTCTTGGGTTTTCAGGAATGAGTCAAAGAGCAGGAAGGTGGGACAGTTCAGTGGCTTCAACATGGTGGGCCAGCCAGAAAATGAAAACAGCTGAGCTGCTTTCTGCCTTTTCTCTGAGGCCAGGACCCCCTGTGTGTACTTGACTTTACTCTCCCTCTGGCACTCTCTCCATTCATGGTTGCTATCAGTGAATACTTGCATATGTTTGGGTACAGCATGGTGGGAAAGGGGTGACCCCTTGAGAGAAAAGTCAAGCTAGAACTAAGATAACTAGATACAGGAAGAGTAGGGGCACTGAACTTGGGAGTCAGATGTCTGTAGGGCTGCCCAAGACTTACGTATGGGGGAAAGACTGACTTCTCATGGTGACAGTATCTGCTTCACCTACCCTGATGACCCTGGAGAGGTATCATGTATCTCAAACCTTAAAACTATAAAATCTTTGCTTTTGCAAAAGAATGTTTTTCTTCCTTTTATGGTGTAAATCTTACCTGGTTCTGGCCCTTTTTTGCTTTGGTGGCCCAGAAGCCCAGGATGAAGTGTGAAGCCTAATTCTAACAATGATGTAGGTCTTTACAGCCAGAATATTTCCTGTTTTCTATGATTTTGATTTCCTACTCAATTACATTCTCCCTAATCAGAATGTCATATTTTATTTCATTGTGTATGTCTTGAATGCAAGCCATCCGAGTTTGTGTGTGTGTGTGTAATAAGGTGAAGTACTCTTTGGTAAGTGACTGAAAATAAAACATGTCCAGGTTGATAGCAAGGGATAGTTGGTAAGGGAGTTATAAGGGCATCAAGATCAAATCTGAAATAATCTAATATATACATATATATATTTTTTTAATATATCTTTATTGATTTCAGAGAGAGGACAAGAGAGGGAGAGAGAGAGAGAAACATCAATGATGAGAGAGTCATTGATCGAGCCCACAATCCGGGCATGTGCCCTGACCAGGAATCAAACCCCGATCGCCTGGATCCTAGGTCGACGCTCAACCGCTGAGCACGCCCGGCCGGGCTGAAATAATCTAATATTAAAGACTCTTCCCCATCCCCACCTCACACCTTGACAGTCCCAGAGAATGGAGTTGCCCAAGGTTTTACGACATACTAGTGTCAGAGAAGAAATTAATACCTACTTTTCCTGGCATCCAGTTCTCTGATCTTCCCAGACAATGGGCCTCATTCTAGCTGAAAGAATGGCATGGTGAAGGGAAGGAAGAGAGCTCACCATTGGCCACTATGGTCAATGAAGTAGAACGCTTTTTATTCCTGTTTCAATTAAAAGAATACAGGCCCTGGCTGTAGACCTCTTGAGACCTGCTGGTTGACAAGGGGCTTGGGCTGCCCTCTATAGCAGGTGCTATTGGGTATGGCGACAGCAGGCAACTCAAAGTGCCAACCTGTGCCAAGGCAGGAGAGGAAAGATTTACCCAGCTCCTAGTTTGAAGGATGGAGCTTTCTCCTTGACATATGCTCTCTCTTGACCCTCAACCAAACAGGACACAACTGAATCTAGCTCATGGTGGTAGCCCAGGAAGGTGGGGAGGGACCTGAAGAGCAAATAGGTCCTGCTGAAGTTCATTTTTATTTTACTTTATTTTTTAATTTATGTTTAAATGTCTTTATTGGCTTCAGAGAGAGAGGAAGAGAGAGGGGGAGAGAGAGAAAGAAACATCAGTGATGAGAGATTCACTGATTGGCTGCCTCCTGCAAGCCCCCTACTGGGAATCGAGCCCACAATCCGGGCATGTGCCCTGACTGGCAATCGAACCACAATCTCCTGGGTCATAAGTCAATGCTCAAGTACTAAGCTGTGTCAGTTGGGCTGAAGTTCATTTTTAAAATCAATTGAAGACCTCAGTTTGAATCAGATATGTAAGTTTCCCTTAGTTTTTTTTCAAAAGGGTGCCCCTCATTCAGACACCCAACCTGAGGGTAAACAAACCTTCCCAAGACAAGTGGCTCCATGAATGCTTCCAGATACAGAACTCAGACTTTGAATTGTCTAAAATGAGTTTATTGCATGTCATGCAGTTTGAAGTCCATGCAGCAAGAGACTAGCACAATTTTTTAATGCATTTTAAAAATAAAATAAAAATGTGTGTATGGGAGGTAAATGCACAAAGTTCTAGTCTCCTAGGGTCCCTGGGAGAGTAGGGTTTGGGAATGAAACCATCCACTCTCCATGGTGAATGAGTTCATCTCTTAAATGCAAGGAATGTTTCCATGGCCTCTGGATGCAAATACAGAGCTCTGGGAAAGAGCAGGGACAAGGAGAGAAGACCACTAATGAAAAAGAAGCTACACACATTCACCTAGTTTAATCTGAGGACAGAAAAAGGTGGAAAATCCTGGGGGCAGCAGCTGTTCCAAGAGTCAGGAGATAACATACACCTATTAGGAGATTTGCTCCTAAAAAGGAGTGGAGGTAAAACCCCAAAAAAAACCCCAAAAGAAGTATTTCTTCAACCACACTCTTCAAGAAAATGCCATAAATATGTATTTAATATTTTCATTTCATAGCACTGGACACATAGCTCAACATACTGAAATATTGATTCCTTGGAGAAAAAAATGGAAAAAAGGAAATAAAAAATATTGCATCTTTCTGTTGGAGAATCTCGGCCCCCAGGTGTGGGGCGAAGCGCACCAGTGTCCTAGCCTGCAGGAGGCGCTGAGGTCGGCGGGGTCCTCTGGGGAAGGACGCTGTGCCCACTGCCTGGGGCTGTATGGCAAAAATTGTGTTGGGTGTCCTTGGCCTTGCCAGCTCAGGCCCTCAGTCTCCGGTCACCTGGGGGGCCTGCCCGTCGGAGGGCTGGTTAGCTGACTGGATGAACATGGGCTGGGCGAGGTCCTGGCCGGCAGGCATGGTGACTTGCTGGATCTGGTAGAGCTGCTGCGAGGGGTGGAGAGGAGAGAGTGAGGTCACCCCTGGGAGAGGGGCATGCAGCTCCCTATGGGCCTCGAGTTGGTTGGGGGCCCCAGATACTTCAACCACCACCCACTGCAAGGCGTCAGAGGGAGGAGGGGATGTGGAGCTCTGCTGGGGTTGGGAGCAGCAGACACAGGAGGCACCAGCACGGTGTGAGGGTGTGTGTGTAGTGGGCGGGGAAGAGGTGCAGGGAGTTGCATTTCCTGTGGCTTTCACTTCTCTGGGCTCTGCCTCTCCCGTTAGCTCAGAGCCTCGAGCTTGCTGCACGCTGTTCCTCTGTGACAAACACAAGCAATTCGAACCACTGTACTAGCAGCTTGGAAGTCAGCATTTCCCCAACTCTCAGTAATCCTCACTGGCAGGGGCAGTAGGATTACCCCCTCTCGTCCTTTCCTTAGAATATCTGGCTAAGCTGAACCTGCACTTTCTACACAGGGCCCTGCTGAGGAGGGCGCTTGGAATTAAACACTTCCTACAGCCAAGACCCATGAGGGGTGAAGCAGATGCTCACATAGCCACTTTGGAAGGTTAAGGCCAACTGGATATTTGGTTTCTCAGGTGTCCCCAAAAGAAACCAAAAGCCAAGACCCCTGCCACAGGAGCCCTGGTATGTAAGCCTAGCACCTGGTGCTGGCAGAAGCCAGAGGTGGGTGATGCAGCTCCTCTCCCTCTGGGCAGCAGAGAACACAATCTTGGGCATTTCATCCTGTCATGTCCTCAGGGGTATCTGGGACCATAGTCATAGTATGAGGAGAAAGGTCGAGGGAAAAGTAAGATTCTTTCCTCGCACGGGTTTAGAATTACTGAATTCCAGGCACTGAGAGAGGTTGAGAGGTCACATGTTCTCTGCATTTCAAATAATCCACACCATTAAAAGGCAGCAGAGAAAAACCAGTCCTAGAGAGGGAAAGAGGAGACCTGTGTTCCAGTCCTGGTTCTGCAATGAACAGCTGGTGAGCATGGACAAGGCATTTCCCATTTCTAGGGCTGTTTACTCATCTGCAAAATGGGGATTTGAGCTATATAATGTCTACAAATCTAAAGGACAGGTACCCTGTTTTAAAGACTGTACTTGTTTTAACAATTTCTGTCCACTCATTGTTAACAGAAAATGGGACAGCTGCCCTAACCATCCAAACCCATAGATGTCATCCACTAACCCCCACCCCTCAACTCCTTGCCCTCTGCCCCTGCCCAGGCTGGGTGTCCTACCTGTCCATCTGTGAACTGGCTGAACTGCTGTTGTCCTTGCTGGACCTCTGTCTGTGTGATCTGCAGGAATCAAGATGGCAGAGTAGGCAGGTCAGCTGCAGGGTCTGGTCCACCAGCCCACCACCCAGGAGAGGGTCATGAAGATCAAATGAGATGATGCACATAAAGTGCCCAGAATAAGGCCTGGCATAGAACAGGTGCTTGACAAGTAGCAGAAAAACAAGGGTCTCTCCCCTCCCCTAGCCCTAAAGGCTACTCAGAGTTGGCACCACATAGAGGACCCCAGAACACACATTAATGGCCACCTACTACCCTCTCCCCCAGGTCTTTCTGGGGCCTGAGGCTCAGCACCTAGGTGCTGACATGAGAGGTCATAACATTTTTAAGTTTTAGGCAGAAACCCTAGGAGTATTTCAGCCAGTGAAGGCAATTTGCAAAACACTGGGCAAAGTAGTGAGTGGTCCCGTTCATTCTTGGAAGGTGGGCTCCAAACCAAACCCATATCACCCAGATTATCTGACTGGAATATGAAACACCCTGGCGAGCAGGTGGCCTTGGCCCTAGCAGCCCTTGTGGCAAACCTATGAAGTACTTTTTCCGACAGTGGCCACGTGTAGCCCTCTGGGCCAAGGACGGGGGTGGGGGTGGGAGGGTGGAAGGAAGCAAGAAAACATTTATCACGTGCACTTAAAATCTTAGGTGTGGATTTTAAAAGAAATTTACTGACATGTAAATGTGCATCATACAATGGCAGCTGTTGGAAACAGCTTGACAGACTAGAAAGAAGAATGCGAACTTGTGTGCATGTGTATCTATGGAACATCTGACTAGTCATGTCTTCTGTGCACCATCTCCTGGAATCATTACAGCCAACCTGCAAGGTAAGGACCGTCCTCTCAAGTGTCCTCACAATGGCCCAAAACAGCCCATCAGGTCTAGGAAACAGGTGTGAAAGGGCTTCACAAAGCTTTCTTACTATTGCTCCTTGTTTTGGGTCTTTCTCCTCCTACCAGTCTATAAACTGCTTGAGAGCAGAAGTTAGTTTTGTCTTTACAAGTATTCAAGAAATGTCTGCAGAATAAATGAATGACCCTGAGACAAATGGGGAATATTCCTCATAGATGAGGTTAACTGTGCCATGGCCAGCAGGACTGCCCTTCACATCAGCTGAAAAGAAAGTTTCATTTATCTTTAAATTTCACTTACATACTATTTATTCAGCATTCATTCAACAAACATTTACTGAGCACCTACCTACCTACCCTATGCCAGCTGTCACAATTACAATCTGTTGTTACATAGGCTTTGACTACTCTCAGGTGCTCTCCCTTTGTTTCTTCCCCTCCTCTCTGTACACCCAACTCTCCCCGCTTTCTGGCTTTAGTTTCTGGTTCCAAAGCTGACGTCTGGGGAACCCAAAACTCTTCCTTCTCATTTCCTCCCACCCCCAGGCCATAAAAAGTTTTGGGGATCCCAGGTTAGAGTCTTAAAAAAGTTTTTTTTGTAAAGGGAGAGGGGGAAGTACCCAAAGGTGTGATCAGTCTTGAGCTGTGATTCCATGTGAATGAGCCCCAAGGAAATTAGGGAAAAGCCCAAGTCCTTATGTGAGGCGTGAATGATCCCAGAGACGGTATGGAACTCAGAAGCCTTACTTTTGGCTCATTCCTCATCTTTTCCCAAATGAAATCTTCGGAGACCTGCTCTACAAACTCAGCTCTGTTACCACTGTCAATAGATACATCACCAGAAATGCAACTGGGCCAGACAGATCCAGCTCTTAAACGATCGCTGCTTTTTTTGGGTCTGAGGCAAAAGAATCCATTAACAATGCCTCCCCTTGATCAGCACCCTCACCCCTGCAAATGATGCCCACATCCCCCAACCCCCAAGGCCAGAGAGGCCCCTCAGTACCTGTGGCTCACAGCCTTCAATATCCTAGGGTATGAGAGGAGATGAGGGGGGCAACCTCTGGTTAAGGATGCTTGAGAAGGTGGGGCTAAAGTCTAAGCAAGCCTTCCAAAGGGCACAGGAGGGGCCAGAACACAATCGCTCATCAGTTTTAAAGCGGGGAAACAGCTTGATGAGGAGGCAGTCTGTCAGAACACTTCTTCTGGTCAGACCTATGCACAGGTACATCAGGCTTTCATCAGGGATCCTTGAGACTTCCCTGCCTTGCACTTCCTTGTTCCTCCAGGCCAAGATGGTAAGAGATACACTTTGAATACAATCCTCCATAAAACCCCACCTGTCCCTGGGGTGCAGAATAGATATGCAGGTGTGGAGGTGGTTCTTGCTGAAGAATAAAGTGGAAAGGAGAGTTGTGTGCTGAGCACTCCTTTCCAGCCAGAAGCCAGCTCCTGCTAGTCCCCAACTCAAGCCCCGCATCTCTGGGGCACATACCTGTTGAGCATTGGTGGCAAGCGTCTGGATCTGTCCCTGCACAACTTGGGTGCCTGATACAGGCTGGGCTAAGCGAATATACTGCAGCTGGCCGGTGTTCAGCTGCACCTAGGGCCGGATAGAGACAAACAGACCACAGGAGATTGAGTGCAACCTTAAACAGACAAACTTTTCATGTGTCCTACTCCACTGAGCCCTCCCTGGCTCCCAAAGAAGCCTACCCTGAAAAGTTCCTTTTTAATAGAAGTCAAAACAGCAAAACCACAGCATCCCCATCCTGCAAGTCACACAACACAAAAGAGGATAGTTCCCTGAGTGGACTTTGAAAAACTTCCCTGAGGATCTTGTCACATACGTGAGAACAGCATGGCTGCACCCTCAACATTTGCTGGCTCTTAGCTGTTTGCTCAGTTTATCTTAGGATTTTATCCTGAAGGCTGTCTAACATTATCAGAATGTTTGTACTGTAAGTGTGGGCCTTCCTCCCCTCCATCTCCACACTACTCCACTCCAGTTCCCAGAATGGCTGATCTAATACTAAGAAAAGCTCCAGTGTCTGCCAGGAGCACAAACCAGATGGCCATCACTCCGCACCATAGCCCTAGAACTGCCCAACTCCATGGTGCACATCTTGGAAGAAAAAGCTGGCCTGCTTTACTATCTCTGTCCCCACAAGCCAGGACCAATGGGGGTCTGAGGGACTTTTAGGATCCTTGGTGTTCAGCACTAGCTTCTGGCCAAACACCTCCCAAGGGGAAGCTGAATCAATAAACCTTTCACAGAAAACCCCATCATGGGAAACCAAATCTACAAAAATGCCCTTAGAGTCCCTCATGCTTAAGATTAAGTCTCAGATAATACAATAATACCACATGCTGCATTTAATTGTGTGCTAAAAGCCTTAACTCAGGCTCTTAACGCTCCAGCGTACCATGAAAGTTTTAGTGCTTTGAGTGTGTGGATGAAGGAAGGACCAAGGTGGTTATAATGCAACGGAAACTGTGGCTCAGCAGACAAGAGAGTCAGCAGAGAAAGGCTGCAGACATTCACACTTGGGATTTGGGGGATGAGAGAGGTTCCAGGAGACCAGCAAATCTGGTTTCTCTCTATCTGGGGGCCCAGACATGACCCTCCCTGTCTGCCCAGCCTGCCTTTGCTGTAAGGGTGAGCTTCTTGAGGCTAACAGATCTCTCTATCCTGAAGCAAACACTCCCCTTGCCTTCAAGAGCTAAGGTCACTGAAGGGAATTTTACTTCCACAAGGAAAATGCTAATAGGAGGAAGCGGCACTCCTGTGAGCAGTATTAAATCAAACTGCTTCTCTGAAACTGCCAGCCTCTAAGAGGATTGGAATCACCAAGAAAGATTAATCCTGAAGTTTTGGTAGAACATTCCAGAATTGTCTACTTAAGGCAAGGAGGGCCAAAAATCTAAACCTGTAAGAATCCGGTTCAAAGGAGACAGGACACGGTATTGTGACCTGCAGTCATTTACTTCCTGAGAATCTGCCGAGAGGAGCTGCTGGGAATCTGTGATGCCAAGTAAGCCTCCCCTCCCCCTTCAATCCCATGATGTGGCCTACAGGCAACACTATTAAGCTGCTTCTGGGGAAGAAGGTAGCTAGGTGGAGGCTCAGGAGGCCTCATCTGCTGAGACTGACAGTGTCTGGTCCCAGGAGTCACCAGAACTCTGGCCAAGCCACATGGGAGGAAAGACAAAAGCCTTGTCCCAGGAGTGGGGGAAGGTATAGTGACAGCCATAGGGATTTTCCATTTCCTAGCTGGGAAGGGCTCTTTGCAGAAACTCAAATGTGATTGGAAAGCTGTGAGCCAAATAGTTCCAAGCAGTTCTTAGAAGAAGCAAGAAGCTCTTTTTTTAGGCTTAGATTTAGATATTTGGTGACATCCCTCAGTCCTCTACCCCAAGGATAGGTCTAGGGATCCTCACAGCTTTTTTACATTATTTACAGAGCAAGTAAGTCTACCCCCTGGGCTTTCAAAAGAGAAGCAAAGTTTCCCTCCTGAAGGTCATCACTACTGCAAGCGCACTGATGAGTTTAGAAATGCAGACTCCTATCTGAGGACCATGAAGGTGAGGCCCTGAACTCTACAACAAATCTGTGCTAAAGCTCTGTGCCCCAGAGGGTTAAAAACACTGGAGTTACAGTTACTGCAAAGTGGGGGCTCTTCTCTGGCTTAAATGAACTTGTTTTGGTGCCTCTACATGAACGAAAACCATTCAAGAGAGAAGTCTTGAGGGTGATGGCTGAAAAAGTGAGGTGAGGCACCTGGAACTGATGGTGTGTGTGTGAGAGGGGGAGGGGAGGGG